GTTTTCAAAGTTGTAGCATATATCAGTACTTTGTTCCTTTTTATGGCTGAATAATATTCCATTGTATAGATATATTACGTCTTGTTTATCCATTCAACAATTAATAAACATTTGGGTTGTTTCTACCTTTCAGCTATTATGGAAAATGCAGCTATAAACATTTGTGCAGGTCTTTGTGTAGACATATGTTTTCATTTCTCTTAGGATACAGCTAGAAGTGAAAGTGCTGGGTTATGTGGAAACTTTATGTTTCATTGTTTGAGGCACTGACAGACTGTTCTAGGTCTTTGTCTGTTTTACAATCCCACCAGCAGTGCCGGAGGGTGCCGATTCCCACATCCTGACAGTACCTGCCTGCTTTCCCCCCAGTCTACAGGTCATTCTCTCCCATTTTCTTGCATCACTTATAACTTTTTGTTGGAAACTGAAGATTTTAGATAATATATTGTAGCAACTCAGTACTGGCCCCTCCCCCTTCAGAGCTTATTATTATTATCTGCTTGTTTAGTGACTGGCTGGATTATTTTAGTGAAGTCCATGCCCCTCTGCCCACAATCTGAGTATAAAGCCTTGTCCTTGGTCCTCAGGGAATGTAGCCTAACCTTGCTCAGAACCTACCAACGCATGACAATTATATAAATTCACACTTTAGTGTCCACAAATAAAGTTTTGTTAGAATATAGCCACACCTATTTGTTTACATATTGTCTGACTGCTGTCAAACTATGAGGGGAGACTTGGAGTTTCAACAGAAACCATGAGCCATTTACTCTCTGGCTGTTACAGAAAAAGCTTGCTGACCTCTGATCTAGAATCTTGAATTCCCTTTATAATCTTTGCATAGCTGTTTGAAAACTTAAGAGAGGCCAGTTCATTAAAGACAGTCTATTCCATGATAAGTAGCCATTCATTAGAAAGGTGGGGAAGACCAGAATAGTAGGCTACAGAGACTGCCTGGGGGCCCCCGACTTGAAAATTTAGTAATTTAATTTACCCAGATTCCCCTTGGAAAGTGAGTCAGAAGATTGCAGGTCTTTTGCCCATATTCTGTTTTTGACCTGGCAGACAAAAAGGGGAGCTAGAGAAAGGGTATTTGAGGTCTTCGTGTGTGTGTGTGTGTGTGTGTGTGTGTGTGTGTGTGAGAGAGAGAGAGAGAGAGAGAGAGAGGAGAGAGAGAGAGAGAACATGTCACCTTTTGTGTGGCACTGCCACCCGCTATATGCTGGCAGCTATAGTCTCACCCCAGCCTCCCCGCATCGGGCACAAGCAACACACGTTTGGAATCAGGAAGCCACAAGAAATGATGACAGTGGGAATAGTGTAGGCATAGGAACAAAAGGCCAGCTCAGATACCTAGAATGTTCAGCAGGAAGGGATAAACAGGTGACCTGTCTCCCCCACCCACCCACCCCCGCTTTGAACCATTGGGAACCTGAGGTTCAGTCAGAGATGAGATTTAAGTTCAGGGCACCCAGGTTACATGCTATCTCAGGATCAAATCTTACTAGGCCCATAGTCCAGGAACCAATAACCATAGGGGTCATTGGGTGCCACTGTTTTACAAAAGGAAGCCTGAGCCTCTGGGAAGAGGCTGTCCCCCATGTACTCCTGGCCATGTGGCCCCAGAAGAAGGATCATTTTTCTGCCTCAGGAGTTCCAACAGCCATGTCTACACTAGAGCTCCAGGCTGTGGGCACACCTGCCAGGAGCCCCACTTTCTGAACATGTGAGGCAGGATGGCATGCTCCAGAGGGGCAGCCTCAACTACAGAGAACCCTCTGTGTTCCCTTTGCTGTGGCCATTAGGTGATGTCAACCTGCCGTCTTGGTTAGCAGACCTTCCCTGTATGCTCTTCAGTTTCCGTTGTGACCAGTTTGTGTTTTTTTCTGTATTTGTCTCCCATGTCTTCCTCTTCCTCTGAAGAGGCCCATCTTTTGCCATCTGGGATTGAGAACCAGACTATTTTTGCAGAACTGCCTGGCCAGAGCCCACAAGCAATATCTCTCCTTCCAGCAGGACCAAGGGAGCAGCCTCAGTGAGTGACAGTGACTTCACAGCAACCTCTCCTTCGAGAGTCAGGAGCCCTTCAACCTCTGGCTCCAAGGCCAAGTGTACATTTAAATGAAACCAGTCCATGGCAGCTGCTGCTCTCTGTACAGGCCCAGGATGGGATTCAGAAGGAACTGCGGGCAGGGGGGGTTGAAATGAGTGGCTGCTCCCTGCAGGCCAGTCTGGTGCGCAGACCCTTTAGACTCATTGTAAGTTGCCACTGCCAACATGAGAACAAAGCGTGTGACTTGTCAAAGCACAGTGTGACATCATTAAAGACTGATGGTAGCCCAGCCGGTGTGGCTTAGTGGTTGAGCGTCGACCCACACACCAAGAGGTAACCAGTTCAATTCCCAGTCAGGGCACATGCCCAGGTTGTGGGCCTGATGCCCAGCGGGGGGTATGTAGGAGGCGGCCAGTCAATGTTCTCTCTCATTGATTTCTCTCTCTCCCTCTCCCTTCCTCTGTCTCTAAAATCAATAAAGAAAAATTATTTAAAAAATAAATAAATAAAGACTGATGGTAGCCTCGAAGCCCAGCCTAGCCTCAAAGCCTCTCTCTCACTCACTCTCTCTAAAAACCAATCAATAAAAAACTTTAGTTAAAAAAAAAGGCTGTATCTTGTTCTTCTTTTTTCCCTCCCACCCCCCCATTTTTGAAGCAATAGGCTCAAGATCTAAATTGGAGAGAAGGGAGGGGCTGAACAAAGGTACTTCAGAACAATACTGCAATTTGTTTTATTATTGGCAGTATTACAGATGTCCCCCTTTCTGCCTCTTTGAATACTGCAAGTTTCTATACCACTATATGTTGATATTATTATTATTCCCATTTTATAAATAAGGAAACTGAGGTTAGAGACATGAAGAAACTGGAGTCCTTGACACAGGGTATGGGACCTACAGCCAGAAACCAAGGCTGAAACTTGAGCATCTGCGTCTGTTGGTGGTGTCCCAGCTCTCCCTTCTTCTCCCCTATCTGGACAAGGCTGGGATCACACCCATCCCAGACTCATGGAGGCCCCTTAAGGTCTGGCTGTGCCCACTGTGCAGCTCTGAACCCAGCTGACCCCAGCATTCTACCACAGCAGGAATCACTCTCAGCCTTTCCTCTCTGCAGTCTGGTGTTGGTGGTAGCCCTGGAACTCTGGACAAACCTCAGCTTCATACTTGCCTCACTGTGTAATCCAGGACAATTACCTCCCCTCTACCAAAAAAAAAACATTAAAAGAGCCTATTTTTCTCATTTGTAAATGGAGGTGTCTAATAGTAATAATTCAGCACAGGTTAATTGAGGGCCTGCTCTTGCAGGCGATGTGCCAGAAGCTGGGAGTGCAAAGGGGAGTGAGACTGCCCCAGTGTCCCTGTGTCCTAACACGGATGTGCATATGGCATGGTAGAGGGCACACTGTAGGTATTCAGGGATGGAAGCTGCCTGCTGCTGGCAGCCCAGCAGTCCAGCCTGCTCAGTGGTGGCCTCTCAGGGAGTTTCTTTTTGATTAATGAGTGTCTTTGTCCCTAAAGGACTTGCTGTCGGCGGCTTTCTTATTTCATCTGGCTGATGGAGCCCCAGAACAGTTGGTAAAGCAGTTGGTATCCTGGACTATTTTTAGGTTGAGGAGTTAGTGGGGTGTTTGGATGTGGTGGAGCCCAGGTAGTCTCAGAGACTGGGAGCTTCACAAGCAACAAGTTGGGGGTGAGGGAAGGATGCTCCCTCTCAGGAATATGTGGGCAAACTCACTTATTTTTCATGATGCAGGCCAACCTTGTTTGGTTTCCTCAATAGAACACACATTCAGTGCAAAAATGCAGGTTAAGGGTTCATCCTCTGAGCTTCCCCATTTCTTGATTGTGGCTCCAAACAGACCAAGTGGTAATGACCTATAGGGATCTCATCTGATGCATCTCTGGATCTCTCCTGCTCTGTACTTCTGAGCCCCATCCTGCCATTCCTAGTTATCACAAGGTAAGGAAGGCAGGAGTCCAGACTTTGGAATCACACAGCCGAGAAGCACTCTTGGCTCCTTTCTAGCAAAATAACCATGACCAAGTCAAGTTGTAAATCTGTTTTCTCATCCATAAAATGGGTGATTATCGTGTCTGCCTCCCAGCAATTAAAGGGCTTATTTTGCTCCAAGTACAGTGGATAGAACCTGTACTTATCTCATAGATGAGATACCTTGCAAGCCCAGGTCCGGAAGGGGTTGCTCATCCTCAAAGGTCTCCATCTCTTTTGTGACATATCGAGTGATGTGTGCGTGCTGGCTAGCGGGAGGGAAGTGTTCCTGGACACCAGGGGGCCCAGAGCAGGCCAGAAGTCACCCAAAGAGAAAGTGGCGGAGCTGGGCTGGAAGACAGGTCTGCGACTCCAATCAAATGACTCAAAATCAAACGCAGCGGCTTTCCGCAGCCTCCTTGCTGACGCACACCCCCTCCTCCGCCTCCTCTAGTATAGTCCTTCTCCCGCTCCTTCCCGCCCCTGCTCAACCCTCTAATTCCGCTGCTTCCCCACGTGGGAGGCGGGAGGTGGAGAGACTCCGGCCTAAGGTGGAGAAAGGGACCTCCTGCCCACCTCGAAGGTCCTGGACTGCGGTGGAGGTGGGGGTGCCCAGGTCTCTGGGAGAACCCAGGAAATCCCCAGAAATGAAGGCGGGATCTGGGGTGCCCGAACTGGGATACCCGGGAGTCGCCGAACCCGCGACAGTAGTCGACGGAGTTCCTGAGACACTGGTGAGCCGGGGATTCCAGTGCCGGGGGCGGAGTCAGTGGAAGGGGCGTGGCCTTCAAAGAAGAAGCGGAGCTCAGATGATTAGGGCTTAGCTTCGCCGCAAGGGGCGGAGTCTAGTGAAGGCGGGGCTCGTTTGAAGGCGGGGCCAGATGGGCGGGGCATCGGACCGGAGGTGGAGCGTGGAGGTTCGCGCTCGTCCCCCTCCCTCGGCCCCTAGTGTCCCTGTGACGAGGCAGCGCGGAGCCGCCGCGGGCCGGGCCCATCCCGCCGCAGCGGCCCCGGGGCCGAGCAGGGGCGAGGCGCGGAGGGAGCGGCGCCGAGCGGACCCCGGAGCGCGGCCAGGTGAGGCCGCCGGGTCGGAGGGGGCGGGGGCTGCGCCGGGCGGGCCCTGGCGGGCGCGGGGGGCGTGTTTGCGTGTCTGAGGGTGGCTGGGTGAGTGGGTCCGAGGGCGGGCGCCTGTGGCTGTTTTGGAGCTCGCGCCTGCTGTCGCGGGGCCGGGGTGGGCTCTGAGCCCGTCCTGCCACTACTCGCGGGGCTAGGGGTGTGCGGGACTGTGCGTGCAAGCGCGTGTTTGTGTGGAGGGGCCGCCGGGTGTGTATCTGCGTATGCGCTGGGCCGTCATTGTGCCTGCCCCAAGCGCGGGGCGCGGGCCTGCCCGGCGCAGCCCCTCCTGCGAGGGGATGTTTTCCAAACAGGCTTCCTGCGGAGATGGGCTCTGCTGCAGCCGGAGCTGGAGGGGGAAGCGCCGCCCCCACAGGCCTCCAGAGACCCGGGCAGCCCGGGGACTGCAGACAGACACCTGAGGGAGGATGGGGGCGCGCACCCGGGAGGGGTCCAGAGGCCTGCCCGCAGGGCGAGGCCAAGATGGGGAGACTGAGGCAGATGGATAGGGAGGTGGAGGTGGCCAGACAGGCAGAGATGGGGAAGAAGGTGGAAAGAGAGATGGCAAAAAGGACAGAGGCGGGGAGGACAGAGAGTCATTGAGAAAACAGACAGACAGACAGACAGACAGAGGCCAGACTGCAAAGAGGCAGAAAGATTAAAGACAGACAGATTCCAAGAACCTGACAGAAGGGAGGTCCTGGGGCTGAGAGCTAAACCCAGGAACTGAGCCTAAGATGAGTTTAGGACCCCCAACTTCTGGGTGCCCCTCTTCCAAGAACATCCCAAACTGGGGTCCTGGCCAAAAAGAAGCCTTTGACCACTCCAAGTTGGTTCATCCCTCTGGCCCCACCAAATTTTCTGATCCTCTGTGTGGCTTCTCTCTCTTGGTTCCATCCCACCTATCAACTCCCTTCCCTGGTATCCCAGCAACCCAGGGCAGTTTAGGAGAGGCAGAGGTGAAGTGGTTGCCATAGCAACAGAGGCGGTGAAAGGTCATTCTGGCCTTAGCCTAGGTGGCCCTGTGGCAGGCCAGAGCTGGCATTGAGTGGGATGGGATAAGAAGCTACAAAAGTCTTTTTCTTCTCTCCCATTTTGCCCAGAATGGTGCTGGAAGGAAACCCTGAAGTGGGGTCCCCCCGAACCTCTGACCTCCAGCACCCTGGGAACCAGGGCTCTTGCGTCCTCTCTTCTCCTGGTGAAGATGCACAGCCAGGCGAGGAGCCCATCAAGTATGGCGAACTCATCGTCCTTGGGTGAGCGTCCCTGGTCCAGGAGGGGTGGGATACCAGGCAACCAAATTAAGGGCCCCTGTTCTCCTTATCTATGACCTTCTGCTATTTGTCCCTCCTCACCTTCCCAGCTGAGAGACAGCGTTGACCAAACCCACCTTAATTCATAATTGTTATTTTAGCTTCCTATTTTTCATGAATTACGTGGACAACTCTTAACTGCCCACCTAAGTTTCTGATCAGAAAAAAAGTAACACTGCTGGCTTTCATAAAACACTTAGTGTGTGTGTGTAGTTTGGGGCAAAGAACTCTGGTCCTTCAACAAAATTGCTTGGTTCAAATCCTGCCTCTGTGAGTTTACTTCCCTGTGCCTCTGTTTTCCCCTTTTACAAATAGGGATGATGATAATACCTCAGAAGGTTGTTGGAAGGAATGAATGAGGTGATTTCTGTAAAAGCACGTAGAACAGTGCTTGGCACATATAAAGTGTTCTGGGAGGCAGGCCTGTGCCAAGCCCGTTCATGGACATTATTTCATTTCAATCTTCACAAAGATGCTGTGAGGAAGGAGGTGAGGAAACCGAGGCTCAGAGAGGGGAAGTGACTGGTCCAAGGGCACACAGCTGGTAAGTGGCAGGGCTGGGATTTGGACCCAGGTCTTTCTTACTCTAGGTCTAGTGCACTTTCACTAAGCCACAGCTGAGTTTCATGCTATAGAAAACTGAGGCCAGGAGAGAGGAAGTGATGTGAGTTGGTGGCTGGGTAGACTTCTTGGTCTCTGCCTGACCAGGATCCCTGCAACACCCACTTTGCTCTTCCCTGAGGCACAGATTCTTCTTCCTCCCCCATGCATAAACTTCCTTTTGGCCTTTCTCTCTGCCATCTGCCCTGAAGAAAATATCTGAGAAGCTATATTATCATTATGATGATTTTGTAGAAATAATAATGGCTACTGTTTGTTGACATGCACATGCCATGTGCTTAAAAAAAAAAGCCCTGGTCAGTGTTTCTCAATGGTTAGAGCTTTAGCTGGTGCACTGAAGGGTCACGGGTTTGATTCCAAGGGCACATATCTGGGTTGCAGGTTCAATCCCCTGGCCTTGGTCGGGGTGCATAGGGGAAGCAACCAATCTGTGTCCCTCTCATATCGATGTTTCTTTCTCTGTCTCTCTCTCTCTCTGTCCCTTCCGCCTTCATTCTCCCTCCTCCCTCCCTCTCTTCCACTCTGTCTAAAAAAAAAAAGAATGGAAAGTTATCCTCAGGTGAGGATTAACAAATAATAACAACAACAACAACAATAATAATAGCTAACATTTATCAAGGGCTTGCTGTATACTGTATATGCACCAAACTCTGTGCCAGGCATTTTTTAAAATATGTTTTTATTGATTTTTTAGAGAGAGAGGAAGGGAGAGAGAAATAGAAACACCGATGTGAGAGAGACATCGATTGGATGCCTCCTGCATGCCCCCTACTGGGGATTGAGCCTGTAATCTGGGCATGTGCCCTGACTGGGAATCGAACCAGGACCTCTCAGTCCATGGGAGGACCCTCAATTCACTGAGCCACACTGGCTGGCCTGTGCCAAGCATTTTTAAATGCTTTATCTTGTTTAGTTTTCACAATGAACCCATGAGGTAGGTCCTGATAAATTAGCCCCATTTTACAGAGGTCACATGATAAATGGACAAGCCAGGATTTCAGCCAGGCCCTTCTGAGCCCCGGCCTGTGTCCTGAACTGCCCCACCCCCATATGTGGAAAGAACTTACAAGGGTAAGAGTGATGTCCTTCTCAGGGGTGCTTGCATTTAGAACAGCAGCTGCTTGTTGTCCCAAAGGCAGAGCAGGCTTTGCAGATGAGAGAGAGTTCACTGATAGGGGAGAGTGCAGACCTAGGGGTCAGGCCCTCTTGACAGCGGGTGGTTCTCTGCAGAACAGTGAAGCCCACACTGGCTGTATATCAGAGCCACCTGGAGAGCATACTGAAACCATCCAGTGAGCCCAGCCGGTGTGACTCAGTTGGTTGAGCGTCGTCACATGCACAGAGAGGTACCAGTTTGATTCCCCAGCAGGGCATGTGCCTGGGTTTTGGGTTCAATCCTGTTTCTCTCCCTCCCTCTCCCTTCCTCTCTCTCTAAAATCAGTAATAAAAACATATTTATTAAAAGAAAATACCCAGTGACTGTCCTACCCCAAACTACAAAATCAGAATCTCCGTGGGTGGGGCCAAGGAATCTGTATTTTAACAAGCTCACCAGGACACGCCCTATCCCCCAGGAGCATGCCTGTGTAGCACCCCTTCCTTCCCCACAGACAAGCATCTCCTAAACTCCAAGGATCCCCAGGAGGCTTGCAACCAGGGCAGCAATGGGCAGCGGCAGTTTGTTCCAGGCAGACCACCTGAACCTGTACCTAAGGTCCCCTTTTCTCTGGCTTCTTAGTGAGCCAAAGCATACCAGCCTAGGTTCATTTCCCTAGATCTTCCTTGTATCATTGTCCCCAGCTTTAATAAACATCCTCTAAAATTCAAAATACAAGCTCACCAGAAGATTCTGATCAAGTGGTCCTTGGCTGTATGTGGCAGCTCTTCATCCTGTCAACCCTCTGTTGCTCCCCACTGCTTACAGAATAAAGGGTTTTCTGGACCCTTCCACCAACCTCAGCTTCTCCTAGTGCACTTCACCACCCGAGTCACCACTCTCTGATTTCATCAAACTCTGCCAGCTTGGGGCCATTGCTCAGGGTGAGCCTTCCCTCTAAAAGGGCTTTTGCAAGAGAGACTGGAGTCAGATAGACCCGAGTTCAAATCTAGATTTTTCATTTATTTGCCTGGGACCTCAGGCAAGTCATTTTACCTCCCTGAGCCTCAATTTTCCTTATTCATAAAATGGGAAGAAAGACACTTGCCTGGCAGGACATTGCACAGGTTCCATTAGGTAATTAATGACGTGAAGCACCAGAAACACGGGAGATTCCAGTACATGGCAGCAATCAAGGCTGACTCACCCCATCTTTGCCTTCCACATCATTCCCTCTGGACAAGAGCTGGAAAGGAAGGTAGAAATTTGATGCGAATGGATCTATGGAGGTCATGGCATTGTGGGTCTATTCTTTTCTTTCATTCTGGTTTCCAGTAGTATTCGTGGTATAATAAAAGCAGTTTGCTAACAGTGACTCCTTTCCAGTTCTTCAAGGCCCAGTAGAGGTGTTCCCTCCCTACAAACCTGATCCTGGGGCCAGAATTTCTTTCTCCTGCCTCTGGGCCTGTCATGCACTTGACTTTTGCCTGCGTCATGGCAGGTGGTACCCAGGTTCCTTGAAAAGCTGAGGACTCCCCTCCCCCATGACTAGGGCACAGAACTAACCTGTGGTGCATCACCTATGCCACCTCAGTGCCCAGCATGTGGCCAGGCATGGCTCAGGGGTCCAGGAATCACTGGCTAACTGAATGAAAGGCCTGTTGAAGATGTCCTGACCCAGCCTGCTCCCCAAAGGCACCAATTTGATACAGTAGGGTCTTCTGGTTTTGGGTGGTTCTAGGGCTTGTTTATCAAGGTAGGATCTGCCCAGAAGTTGGCAGTTCCTCCCAGTCTCTCAAGGGCTCACTTTTTCTCTCTCTCCCTGCAACCTTTTCTTAACTCCCCATATCCACAGCTACAATGGGTGTCTGTCAAACGGTGACAAGGGCCGCCGGCGAAGCCGTCTGGCACTGAGCCGCCGGCCACATGCCAACGGAGTAAAGCCAGACGTCATGCACCATATCTCCACACCGCTCGTCTCCAAGGCAAGCAGCTTGTCCCAGCAAACCCCGGGCTGGTCCTACCCTCCCTGCCCAAGCCCCACTGGAGTCGGGGAGCCCATTGTATCTTCATTCATTGCCTAGTGGGCTGCCAGAGAAATGGTGTTGATAGGAGAGCCTTTGCAGTGTGCAGTCCTTTACAGTTTGCAAAGCATTTCCTTGATCACCAGCCCCCATACATTGGACAGAAATGATCAGCATCATTTTAGAGTCAGCCAGGGCTCAGAGAGGGAATGTGACAATCACACAGCAACAGCAAAGGAAAAGCCTTTGGGTTAGAATTGAGGCTTTGCTGTCTCCAGCTCTGTGACTTTAGGCCAGTTTCTTCTCTCGAAGCTGCCACTCCCTCAGCTGTAAAATGACAGTGATAACCATGCCTCTGTTGGGGTGGCTGGATGGAGCAAATCAGATAACCTGTGTGAAGTGCCAGCTGCACAGTGCACCTTCTGCGAAGCGTGGACACTTTCCCCGGGAGTGGCCGCTGGCCTTGGGCTCCAGCTTCTAGCTCAAAGGCTCGTACTTCTCATGGCCACATGCCTTGGGAAGTAACTTCTCCTTTCTCCCCACCAGGCACTGAGTAACCGGGGCCAGCATAGCATCTCGTACACACTGTCCCGGAGCCACTCGGTCATAGTCGAGTACACACATGACAGTGACACAGACATGTTCCAGGTATGCTCGGGCCCCTCCATAGGCCTCCTGATTGCAGCCATAATGCTTGTCTCTACACACCTTCCAGGGTGAGACTGGAGGACCTAAGGCCATGGGGAAGGTGCTTTGGGGCCCTTAGTGCTGTCAACCACTCTTCAGATGAGGAAGCAGAACATCCAGTGAGGGTCACATAGCAAGTAGTAGCTGTATCAAGAGTCAAACCTGCCCAGCCAGTGTAGCTCAGTGGTTGAGTGTTGACCCATGCACCAAGATGTCACCAGTTCGATTCCCAGTCAGGGCACATGCCCAGGTTGTGGGCCAGATCCCCAGTGGAGGGCATATAGGAGGTGGCCAATCGATGGTCTCTCTCATCAATGTTTCTATCTCCCTCTCCCTCTCCCTTTCTCTTTCTCTGAAATCAATAAAGGAAAGAAAAAAAGAGTCAAACCCAAGACAGGACTCTCCAGCTGTGGGAGGGCATGCAGTTTAGGGGTTCAGATCCCAGCTCCATTGCTTACTAGCGTGGTGACTTTGGGCAAGAGTCACCTAACCTCTCCAGGCCTTAGTTATCTCATCACTCAGGCAGGGCCCACGTTAGTACCTGTGCATGGAGTTGTTGGGAAGATTAACTGAGATAATGCATATAAAATGCTTAGCATGGTGCCTGGCATATAGTAAACACTTGCTAAAAATTCATTTGCTGCCAGGATGTGAGCACTCCCAGGCCGCAGGTACCACCCTTTCACTGTTCAATCAGCAAATCTACTGGTTTTTATTGAGTGGGGTGCTCCCCGGACTTTGGGGGAGATTTGGAAGAAGGCCCAGACCTCAACAATTGGACTTGCAGCCCCCTGGGGACTTGGGATGGTGCTACCCCTCGTTGTTTGATGACTCTACATTCTACATGCGGAGCAGCTGCGGAACTCTGGGGTGGGAAGCCCGCGGGATTGTCCTGGACACACAGCATCCCTGTTCTTGCCTTCCCCTTCTTACAGATTGGCCGCTCCACGGAGAACATGATCGACTTTGTGGTAACAGACACGTCCCCTGGAGGAGGGGCAGCTGAAGGGCCTTCTGCCCAGAGCACCATCTCCCGCTATGCCTGCCGTATCCTGTGTGACCGACGGCCGCCCTATACTGCCCGCATTTATGCCGCTGGCTTTGATGCCTCCAGCAACATCTTCCTTGGAGTGAGTGAGCCCTAGGCAGGGACCAGCGCTTTATCTGAGAGTAAGCTGAGGGGTAGGCTGGGGAGGGGCAGCACCCTGGGATGATGGACCTGACCACAGTAATCATAACTATGACCTCTGCAGGGATTAGTACCCCACTTAACAAATGAGCAAAGTGAGGTTTGGAGAGGTCAGATGATGCCCGAGGTCAGGCAGCGCCAACTTTAGTCCTCTCTAGGCCACCTCTGACCTTGAGGATAGGGACAGCCCCCCTGGCTCATGACCTGCTAGGGGCCACTTAGGGGTGTGGTCTGATCCCACATGTGGTCCCAGGAGCGGGCAGCCAAATGGCGGACTCCCGACGGCCTGATGGACGGCTTAACCACCAATGGGGTCCTGGTGATGCACCCAGCGGGCGGCTTCTCTGAGGACTCAGCCCCAGGTGTCTGGCGGGAGATCTCGGTCTGTGGGAACGTCTATACTCTGAGGGACAGCCGCTCGGCACAGCAGCGGGGGAAGCTGGTAGGTGGTCTGCCCCATCCCTGCCTCCCCATGCAGTCATCCTTCCTGGGACCTCTGAATCTGCTTGTCTCCCTGCCCAAGCCAGGAGAGATCTCTAGTCCTCCTGCACAAGGGAGCCCCAACAGCTTCCATTTGGGGGTACATGCCACTTGCTGCACAGAGGGGACCAAACTAGCTTCCCATGTATTGCTCCTGTTGGAGGTCCGTGGGGTGATAGGAAGTGGAGCACACACAGACACACCATGCAGTACCAAGTGGCTTCGAAGATGCCAGCAGCTGAAAAAAATCACACCCTCTTATGAGGGTGACACTTGGCCCTGTGTGAGCAGTTTATAGCCTACAGTGTTGACAGTTTGTAACGGGCCTGTCACATTCAGACGAGTTTAGCTTTATTATCCTCTCCCAGCAGGAAAGAGCCCGTGGAGTAGTTCTGACCCAGGTGACAGTGAGTGCTGCAGGTGGTACAGATAGAAAACTAACGTTGGGAATTGGGAGAGGGTCCTAGACAGAGGTAGGAGCTTGCCAGAGGTCACGTGACCAAGTTCATTCTGGGTATGAATGTGTCAGGCAAGGAAATGCAAAACCTCAAGGAAAAACATGGCTTATCTTTCCAGAGCACCAGTTCTACAGGGAGATTTGGGGAAACATTTTTAAATTACGCACGTGAATGTTTCACTAGCATACACTAAGTTTTAGGCACATTCCAAGTTTACATTGACTGACTCAAGAGAACCACTTAACATACTGGAAAGTAGAATCCATCTGGAGGATAAGGAAATTAAGACCCAGAGAGGTTGAGTTACTCAACCAGGGATACAGATTTAGTAAACAATGAGGCCAGAATTCACACCCGAGCAGTCTAGCTCCAGAGTCGGTGCTTTAACCACAGCCCTTGGGACAGCTGCTTTGGGCTTAGTCCTCAGTGTTTCAGATAGCAGAGTTTCCTGTCTCAGCCATTAAGGGGAGAGCCTGGGGAAACATTTTAGAAAAACTCTGGGTCCAGACCCCCTGATTTGATGGATGAGGTAATCCAGGCCCATGCTCTGCGGAGAGTGAGGGACCCTGTGTGCCTAGGAGCACCTGCTGGCCCTCCCACATGGCTTCTTGGTCCTCCCTGCTCCTCTGCCCCAACCCTCCCCTTCTCTGTCCCAGTCCCCTGTTCTGCCCCAGCCTTCTCTGACTGTCCAGGGTGCCCTCTCCAGGAAGGTTCAGTGGGATGGATGGGTGGCTAGGCTGGGGAGATGTTTGCCCAGCGGTAGGGGCTTGGGGGCCTGTTGGGTAGTAAGGCCCTTCTGCTCTCCTGGCAGGTGGAAAACGAGTCCAACGTGCTACAGGATGGCTCCCTCATTGACCTGTGCGGAGCCACACTGCTGTGGCGCACGCCAGCGGGGCTGCTGCGGGCACCCACACTGAAGCAGCTGGAGGCCCAGCGGCAGGAGGCCAACGCAGCGCGGCCCCAGTGCCCTGTGGGCCTCAGCACTCTGGCCTTCCCCAGTCCTGCCCGTGGCCGCACAGCACCTGACAAGCAGCAGCCCTGGGTCTACGTTCGTTGTGGCCATGTCCACGGCTACCACGGCTGGGGCTGTCGGCGAGAGCGGGGTCCCCAGGAGCGCGAGTGTCCTCTCTGCCGTCTTGTGGGGCCCTATGTGCCCCTGTGGCTTGGCCAGGAGGCTGGCCTCTGCCTGGACCCCGGACCACCCAGCCATGCCTTTGCACCCTGCGGCCACGTCTGCTCTGAGAAGACTGCCCGCTACTGGGCCCAGACACCACTGCCCCATGGCACCCACGCTTTCCATGCCGCCTGCCCCTTTTGTGGGGCCTGGCTCACCGGCGAGCATGGCTGCGTCCGCCTCATTTTCCAGGGGCCACTGGACTAGGCTCTCCAGGGCCCCCTGCTGCTGCACCCGCCTGCCCACCCAGGTCCCCCACCTTCTGCAGCCAAGAGGGAGCTCTGCATGTGGGACTCTACCTGCTGGCACGTAGCCACACCAGACGGACGCATTGGATGGGCTGTGTCCCTCCCCTTTGAACTCTGGCCCCTGAAGGTGTCTCTGAGAACCCTACTCCAGTCGAAATGATGGGGTCCTCAGCATCAGCTCTGTCCTGGCCTGATGGAAGGAAGTTCACTCCCATCCCTGGCCCTTCCTGGGGTGTCCCACATCATGCCGCCTACACTGTGCCCCTGGGGGAGTGAAGGGGCCCTGGGCCCCTGACCCCCAGTTTAGGCTGGCTGTGCCCTGAGCCTGCCGACCCAGCCTCAGATATTCACCCTGCTGCTGCCCTGGGTCCTCTATAAACCTTGCTGCTCAGCTGCCCTCACCAATCCCACGTGCCCTGCATGTGTGCAGTGCCTCCAGCCCCTAAGTGAGTTACATACAGGTGGGTGGCAGGCGGGGACCAGCATCTGCTGATACCCACTGTGGGCTGGACTCCATGCCAGGTGGGTTCTGGGGACACAGAGACAATCAGACCCGGTTCCCTGCCTGGTGGAGTTCACAGTCAAGTGGACGACAGACCAAATTACCCAGTGACAGCATGCCTTCCTGTCACTGGAAGAGAACTGGATCAGAGAATTGCCAGGGGCTGTGGCACAGGTCTCACTAGCAGATGGAAAAGTGAGGGAAGGTCACAGAGGAGGTGGCTGGGGATCCCCACAGGAAGGGGAGGGTGCTAGAGGCAGAAAGGAGAGCAGAGCACGGGCTCTGAAGTAAGAGTGGGATTCAGAGTGGTGGGAGCAGGGGCTGCAGGAGGGCAGGAAGGGGGCTGGAGCAAGAGGTTGGGGCTGTGCTGACAGGGAAGATGCTGGATGGAGGATTTGGAACCTCATTTGCGGACCAGTCAGGAGCCGAGGGAGGAGAGAGGACTCAGTTCCAGAGTGTTGGCTGTGTTCAAGGGCTACCATTCCCAAATGCCCACTTTGTGCCCGCACTGTGCTAATAATAATAACTCGTTCACTGAGCACGCACCAGGCACCAGGCTCTGCTTCTCAGAGGTTTGGTTACTGAATCTACACAGGAACCCAGGGAGGGAGGTGTTACCATTTCTGTTATGGGGAGATTAAGGCACATGCTCCATGTCCCACTGCTAGAAAGTGGCTAAGTCAGATTCGTACCCATGGCTGCCTGCCTGGCCTCAGAGTGCCCTCTTCTCCATTACCCTGTGCTGCTTTCCTTGGACTAGGTGAAGGAGTTGGGAGGGCAGCCCAGGTAAGGGGAACAGCATGGGCACAGAGGCAGCAAGAGAAATGCTTGAAGACCAATGAGCTGGGTGTGGAGGGGGCCGAAAAGAGGACTGAGGGGTGGGGACATTGGGCTGGGGCCTGTTGGGCTTTGGTTGCCATAGAGGCCAAGTCTGAACTGGATCCCTATTTATCTTGGCTAAATGTCATCTCCCCTGAGAGCCAAGGCAAGCTCGGGGTGCTGCTCAGTTTGCCCCCAGACCATTCCTAGGGGGAGCAAGCTAGGAAGACAGGTAGACAGAGGTTTTGGAGATACACAAATCTGAAGCAGAGGCTTTGAATACAAGCCTGACCTGGGCCTCATCCCCAGTGGCAGACGGCTGCCCCAGGGTGTACAGATTCCTAGGGGAGGGACCTGCCCCACGGCCAGTTGGAGCCACAGAGACCAGACCTGGGGCTATTGAAAGGACAGAGGATTCCCATGAGTGGTGGTGGTGTGATCAGTCTTGCTTCCAGAACATCATACTGCCACAGTAGGGGAGCCCAGCTGGGCATGCTGGGGTGGGAGCATGGCAACTCCTACACACACAAATACACAGCACTAGGACTCCAACTCTTCCCAATGATTTTCTCTTTTGACCCTGTTGGGACCCAGATAGGACCATTGTGGTCCCATTTTTAGCAGAGAGTCATAGACTCTGGAAGAGAGATAAGCAAAGGGCACAGGCACAACCCCAGGGAGAACTCAGAAGTGACAGTGGAGGGGGTCAGACAGCCCTGGTCTTGGCCCAGCTCTGCCCCTTTCCAGCTCTTGGAGTCTCCGTTTCCTCAGCTGTTAAATGGAATAAAAGTCCCCTCTCCAGGTGGTTGTGAATTATGGAGGACACCCGTACGCAGGAGTTAATTAATAATGTTACTTCCTCACCTATCCCTTCATTGCCGTGGGAAGAGACAAGACTGGGACAGTCGTGACTCCAGTGAATGGACTGCTCCGTGTGTGTGCACATGCTGGGGCAGGTGGGGAGAACTGTGGTGGAAAGTCTAGGCTGAATCCCAGGTCAGGGACACCTGAGGACATTCTGGGTGGCCTTAGGGAAGTCAGTCAACCTATTAGCCTCAGTGTCCCCATCTGTACAATAGGTAAAATTATTATATCCTATTTCAGGGTTTTTGTTTTTTTTTTTAAAAAAATGAGATCCTCTATGTCCAGCTGCTAGTACAGGACCTCAGTAAGGCTCAGATTAGCTGTAATCATAAAAATGCAGCTTGGTTGAAACTCCCAGGAGCACTGCGATCTTTTGCTGGCCTGAGCTGCCCACTGGTGGCAGTGACAGCACTACCTCCTTTACCGGTTTACATTTCAACTTCACCCAAGTCAGGGAAGGTTTTATACTCAAAGACAATGAAAACTGAAGCACAAGAAAGAAGAGGGGTGATGTTCCTAAGGACATAGGCCAATTTATTGAGCTCTTCCTATGATAATCATCATTAGAGCTAACAGCACTGTTGTGCCAAGCAGAGCTTCGGCACCTTTGTGAATGAGCAGCTGGCACTCATGTGGGGCTAGACACAGGTGGGGCAAAGGCTGGCAAGGAAAGGGTGAGGATTTCAGGTATCCCCTTCTCCCCGCACCCTTTTCTACACACCAGGGAGCAGCACTGACCAGTCAACACTTCACTCAAGCTGACATCCCTCAGAATCAAAACCATTATTAGCCGGTTTTTCTGCTTAGAAAGCCAAGACTCAGAGGTAAGGTGACCCATCCAAGTACACAGCCAGCAGGCCTTGGAGGCACGATTCCACTTCACATGGCCCGACTACTGATCCGGGACTCTCACAATACTGCCCCCTAGGTCCCCAGGACCTTCCTACCTATGCCCCCCCACCCAGGCCATCCTCCAGGGAGACCACCCTGCCTTGCAAGGGTGGGTCTCAGGCCCAGCTCTGCCCTGGGCAGCCTTTCTGGGTCGCAGGGGGCTTTCTCATCCATCAGGCTCCCAACAAGCACCAAGAAATTGCCAGGCCCCTCGCCTCTTTGTGCTGAAAAAACTGAGGCTCAGAAACCTTGAACGGCTGCCGCCACCCACCGTCCCTGCCCATGGTGAGTCGGTGGTGCCGCCGTCTCAGCCCTGGCACCAGCCTGCTCACCTGCAGTCTGGATTCCCTGCAACGAGCGCTTGGCCGACTCCAAAGAATCTCCACCTACTGGCCATCGAATCCAGTGAGGAAGGGGGAGCCCCATCACTCTCATTGTGCAGGTTCTCACCTGCAAAAAACAGGTTGGGGACTGGGAAAAACCCCAAAGGAGCCAGAGGTCGGGGCTGTGTGTAGGGGGTGGGGATCCCTGGTGCTTCGTCCGTGACACCCATGTCACCCTGCCCAGATCAGGGGGACCTTGTCAGCCCGGTCTGCCAATACTAGGCCGCGGCCAGGCCCGCCGCGCACGTCTCCGACCCTGCGGGAGCACAGCAGGCGGACAAAGGCCAAGGCCGCAGGGGCCACCCCCCGCACGACCCCGTAGCGCCGGGATTGGGCGGGCCGGCGGAGCTCGCCTCAGCGCTCCTATTGGCTGAAGCCGACGTTCATCTGGAACCCCGAGGCCCTATAATTGGCCGGTGGGGGCGGAGTTCGCGGAGCCCCAATGAATGGGGGAGGCGGAAGCAGGAAGTGAGTTTGCGAACGGAGCAGCTGCTGCAGGTGAGACGCGGCGCCCGGGTTTCGGGTTTCAATGTGTCATCCTTGGGGCACAGGGCGAATCTGTACCGAGTGCAAGATCATTCCCGTTCTTCCCCCCATCTCGTACCCTTTCTAAACTTATCGCGGCTCCTAGGCCGAGGAACGCTCCTGGCAGCAAAGGGTTAACATCCCTTTCAGAACCCGGGTGATTGTGCTTTGGGGGCGGAGCCTCGGGAGTGGCGGGGGATGCTGGAAATACTTCACCCGTAAGGGAGGATGGTGTGGAGAATGCCCTGGGTTGGGAGACCCCTGAGTCCCGACAGGCTGTGAGACCTTCGTTAAGTGGCTTGGTCTGGCCAAGCCTCAGCCTCCCTATCTGTAAAGTGAATTTTCTTCTAGCTTTGAACTTCGGTGGCTCTGTAGCTCCCCTGGGAGCACTGGGAGAGAGCAGGAGGATGCAGGGCGGATTGAGAGTGGGACAGATCCTGGGAGCCTCGAGAGAGGAAAAGCACAAGGAAAATCATTAACTGCTGTAGGTACAGTCTGTCAGGTGTGACCTTACCTAATTTGCACACCCACCTGGTGAAGTGGGGGTTGTTGTCACCCCCCTCGTACAGAGGCGGAAACTGAGGCACAGAAAAGTGAAACAGTTTACTTGATTTTAGGAGTGTGGGGCTGAGCCAGTATTGGAACCTGGGTGTTCCAGCTGGTAGCCTGGGATTCTCCCTTTGTGAACACAGTGGTGAGTGGAATGGAAGAACCTGCGGGAGAATTTTGGAGAGGAGGCTAGGAGGTCAGAAGGAGGGGGGAGCCAGAGAAGGACCTGGGCAGGGAGCCTAGAGATGCAGGTCTCTGCTCCGACCCTTCTCTGTGTTATTATTAGACAAAGCTCCTAACCACTTTGGGCCTCATTTTCTCCATCTGTAAGATTAGGTGGTTAGATTCAATATTTAAGATTGAGGGGCCACAGGCCAAATCTGGCCCATCAACATATTTTGTAATCTCCTTGGGTGAGCCACCTAATCTTCTCGGAGCCTCAGTTAGCATATCTGGTGAATGGATACAATGGCATTTCCTTCCTCATGGGCTTTTGGGAGGATTAAATGAGGTTATGAGATTGCAGAGCCCTGTGTGCAGTTGATGTGGGGTAAATGATGGCTGTGATGATGGCAATGGTTCTCAGCAGGACCCATGGCGGACACCCAGTACATCCTGCCCAATGACATCGGCGTGTCTAGCCTGGACTGCCGCGAGGCCTTCCGCCTGCTGTCGCCCACAGAGCGCCTCTATGCCCACCACCTGTCACGCGCCGCCTGGTATGGAGGCCTGGCTGTGTTGCTGCAGACCTCCCCTGAGGCCCCCTACATCTATGCCCTACTCAGCCGCCTCTTTCGTGCCCAGGATCCCGACCAGCTACGCCAGCATGCCCTGGCTGAGGGCCTTACTGAGGAGGAGTATCAGGTCAG